GAGCTCCTCCCAGTTGGTCGGGTTGATTTGCAGGCGCTTCAGCGAGGACTTCAGGGTGTCCTTGTAACGGCGAATCTGGCCTCCTTGACGGCGATAACCCGTCGCGACGTCTCCGTAGAAGAGTCGTTTGGGTAGTCGCTCGTCGTCCATGCGCACCAGGTGACCGCTCCAGCGCAGCTGCATTTGTCTCAGTATGGCGTAGATGCTGAGGATTCCCGTCCGTTCCAGCACATCAGTGTCGGGGATTCGATCCTACCACTTCAGCCTCAGGATGCGACGAAGACAACTGAGGTGGAAGTGGTTCAGACGGCGTGCCTGCTTTGCGTACACCGTCCAAGTCTCCGCTCCATACAGTACTGTCGGCAGGATGACGGCCTTGTACATCTTTAGCTTTGTGCTCAGCTGAAGACCGTGGCGATTCCAATTTGTGCTTTGGAGGCGACCGAAGGCTTGATTGGCTTTCGAGATCCTGTTGGCGACTTCGTCATCGATCTTGGTGTTGCGGGAAAGAGTACTACCCAGGTACGGAAAGTTCTCCACCACTTGCAGTTGGGTTCCATTCACGCTGATTTGCGGCGGCGCGTTGTGGGCTGTGGCTGAGTTGGGTGGCGGTTGGTGCATCACCACCGTCTTCTGCGTGTTAATGACCAGACCGAAGTTCTCGCAGGCGGCGGAGAACAGGTACATGCTGCGTTGCATCTCCTCTTCGGAGGTGGTGTTTAGGGCGCAGTCGTCGGCGAAGAGGAGCTCGTGAACGGTGGTTGTGGATACGCGCGATTGGAAGTGCATCCGCCGTTGATTCAGGAGATGACCGTCCGTTCTGTAGGCGATGCGGATCCCGGGACGTTCGTCGCGGTAGGCGTCCATCAGCATGGCAGAGGACATAAGACTGAAGAGGGTAGGCGCCAGTACGCAGCCCTGCTTCACTCCATTGGTCACTGCGAATGCCTCTAAGACAGCTCCGTTGTCCGTGACTCGCGCCATCATACCGTCGTGCGGCTGATGTACCATCTAAGTGAATTGCTCCGGACAGCCGAATTTCTACGTGATCTTCCACATTCCTTCACGATTCACCGTGTCAAAGGCTTCCGTCAGGTCCACGAAGGTAGAGTACAGGTGGGTCCGCATCTCCTGACACTTCTCCTGAAGTTGACGGGCGGCGAAGATCATATCCGTGGTCCCACGATGATGACGGAAGCCGCATTGTCTTTCCGGCAGAAGGCCCTGTTCCAGATGGTTATTGAGGCGGTTGAAAAGGATGCGAGCGAAGATCATCCCGGCGATGTTCAACAGGGAGATGCCGCGGTGATTGTCGCAGACTTAGCGATTCCCTTTGCACTTGTAGAGATGCACGATGGTTGCGTCTTTGAAATCTTGCGGGACTTCACCTTGACGCCACATCTCCTGGAAGAGCGCAGTCAGGTGATCTATCAGTTGGGGACCTCCGTGCTTGTAGACCTCAGCACGGATTGCGTCCGATCTGGGTGCTTTCCCGCTGGAGAGCTGCTGCACGGCCCTGATGGTCTCTTGGAGAGATGGCGGGAGGTCGAGGTCCACGATGGTCTCCACTTGCGGCAAACGCTCGATGGCGGCGTCGGAGATGACTGAGGGGCGGTTTAGGACGCCTCGGAAATGCTCGGCCCATCGCTGTAGGATTTGTGTCTTCTCGGTCAGGAGAGTGTTGCCGTCGGCGCTGAGGAGAGGAGCAGTGCCCTTCGTTTGCGGGCCGTAGACAGCTTTGATCGCAGAGAAGAAGTTCTTCCATTCGTTTCGGTCCGCGAACCCTTGGATCTCTTCAGTTTTACGAGCAGTTCGGGCGTCCTGCATCTCGCGCAGTCGTTGGTGAAGTTGGCGGCGACTGCGGTAGAAGGCAGCTTTGGTGGCATCAGTGGGGTGATCTACGTAGGCTTTGTGTAGGCGGTTCTTCTCAGCAAGCAGATTTTTGATGGCGGCGTCGTTGTCGTCGAACCAGTCCTGGTGTTAGCGGGGAGCGCGACCGAGGACGGCGAGCGCCGTCGACTGGACCGTGTCTCGCAGTTGACACCGGCGGTTCTCCACGGCGGCGTTCTCGGCAGCGGCGGCGACGGCAGCGATAGGAAGGTTGTCTAGCCTTTGAGCTAGATCATTGCTGAAATGAAGATGGTGAGCGGGCAGAGACAACAAGGCAACATTCAGCTTACCTGGGGGTCGCTTACCTTGTGGTCTCCTGCGAGGCTGTAGGCGAATACGCATCTTCGAAATGACGAGGCGATGGTCGGTCCACCCGTCAGCTCCCGCGATCTCCGTTGTCACCAGCACGTCCCGCTGATCTCGCCTCCGGACGAGGACATAGTCCAGCAGGTGCCACTGACGCGACCGAGGATGCCTCCAGGTGGCCTTCTCTCGCTCCGGCAGACAGAAGAAGGTGTTCGTCAGGATGAGGCGGTGTTCTGCGCAGGTGCGGAGAAGCAGCAGACCATTGTCGTTTGAGCCGCGGAGACCGTGGGTACCCAGCACTCCTCTCCAGGCAGTATGGTCTGTGCCGACGCGGGAGTTGAAGTCACAAAGGACAATCAACTTGTCCGCCTTCGACACAGTCGCCAAGAGGGCGTGCAGGTCCTCGTAGAATTTGTCTCTTGCGGTGGCGTCGGGGTTGGTCATCGTCGGAGCGTAGGCGCTGATGATGGTGGCGAATTTGCCTCCTCGCCGGAGAGGCAGGCGGAGGCTCATCAGGCGATCGTTGATGTCCTGCGGCAAACAGGGCAGTCGTCCCACGATGTCGTTCCGAATGGCGAAGGCGACACCCGCGTCCTGTCTCTCTGCCCTGGGTCGACCGCTCCAGAAGAAAGTGTAGCCGGCACCCACCTCCTCCAGTTGGCCTTGTTCGAGGAATCGGGTCTCGCTGAGTGCGGCGATGTCCACCTTGTAGCGTGCCAGTTCTCGTGCCACTAGCGCCGTCCTCCGTTCCGGTCGGTTGCTCCTCGGATTGTCTAAAAGGGAACGAACATTCCAGGCTGCCAGAGTGAGCGGACTCACCTTGCCAGTCTGGTGACAACGAGTGGGACGACGGGAAGGAGGTGGAGAAGAAGATGGCGAAGGAGAAGCATAGGCAGAAGAATAGGCAGAGGAAGAGAAAGAAGAGGTAGGATGAGGAGGTGAGCGAGTATTGTTGTTGTTGTTGTTATTGGTATTGTTGTTGTTTCGATTTTGATTGTTTCGACCATGTTTAGACATCTGCGGCCCTGGCTAGCCTGAAGACTGCGTGGTGTCCAGCAATGTTTAGGCCACCTTTTCTAGGCCCTTCCCCTCGTGGGGGCTGGCAGTGCTATCCCTGAATAGGGCTGCCATGTGCCGTTGTGGCACGGCCGAACTCCACTATGGGGCCACGACTTCGGGTTTTAGTGGAGAGCGACTCGAATTCGCCGTAAGCCGCGGTCTCCGACGGCGTAGGTGGGCGCGTCAGGGCGATGTCGATGTGGAGATCCATCCCGTCACCGGCTGTCCAGCGGCGTGCAGAGACGAACCACGTCACGACGGTGCCGACGCAAGGTTCCATCCGACCTTCCATCCAGCGGAATCCGCAAACCCTGTGCACACGGCACAGCGCACAGGGTCCCCTCACCTGGTTTAGCCCGCCGGTCGAGACGGTTGCCCGGGTTGTGGCCGCTGAGCAGAGCCCAGCTACGTGGAGCCACAGGTGAGAGTTGAGTGCCAGCAAGTGAACGCTAGGCGTAGTCTCACCTGCAAGCAAGTGAGCGACCACCACGACCATCACGTGAACCCACCGCTGACACCCCCACACCTCACAGCCGAACATACTACCTCTACATCACATATGGTTAGAACTGTAGGGAATAAGAGTTCGCCGTGGGTAAGGTAAAAAAGCAGGTTTAGCATATTAACGACATAGCAATACACCGTAAGGTCTACGCAGTATAGCAACGGCTAACTTATATAATACCATGAATGTGCTCTCTTATGTGGTAGTGGGAAACAAGGTCGATATCTGGAATGTAGCAGAAGGTGGGCAGCTGGGATCCATTTGCTGTCGTTACAGATGCTAGTAGAACCTTTTCATCGATGATACTCAAGAGATTACACGGCAGGGTATAGCTACTAACCAAAGCAGCTGTAACGCCCGCATGTACTGACGCAGTAACCGTACTGTTATACATTTTGCAATGCCATACAACTGGTGCTCGTATGGATCTTATAGATGCAAACAGGAACGGAGAGTGTACTCGAGTTTTCCTACCCTGTAGGTCACTGATATATAGATAGATATACGCGATTCGTGGAAGCACATTTGTGTTATTGAATGATTTTTCCTGAAATTATAACCTCGAGTTACCTCGGGCAAGTTCGTCTGCGTCGCAGACTCTATCAAACTCTAAGAGAGAAAATTTTTATTCGGGAACTCAAAGAAAGCCATTTTTAGAAAAGTCAGTGCCACCAGTTTATAGCCGAATTTTCCACTACAGACTTCCAATCTCTACTCCCACCAGGCTATTTACTCAGAAGGCTCTTCCCGAAGGCATTTCCTTTTACGGCATGCGACAAACATCCCTGCTTAGTTGGACTTTTGGCGACAAATATTTGGAATTCAATGAAGGCAAGTAGACTTAACTCTGTTGTGACCCCAAGTTAGTGTCCACCAGACTTTTAGGTCGTCCCCCCCCCCTGGCAGCACAGCCGATCTCCCAACTGCCAACCGAGTCCGTGCATTTAAATTCTACTAAGAGTATTTAATGGAATCTCAGGCCTGCGCACAAGCAGAACGGCCTTTTCCCACGTAAATCTAAAATTTACGACTTAAAGGAAGCCACAACCCTAAAGAATCTAAATGTCGCCACCTGATGTTGAACAGCTAACGCTAAACGCTTTTGGAAAGGGTTTCCAACTCTTCATTGTACGTTGGAAATCTAGTCGACCGAGTCCCATGTAACCAAGCAATGGTCACGAGATCGGTCCTTTGAGTAATTAGGACTTTGGCAAGATAACCATATACATCCATATCGGACACTCGAGGCAAAAATATTTTTGTGCAGGCTGTCACCTCTTCTGCCTACGATACACGCCAATCTATTTAAAATTTGGTGTCCATTTGCCAACAAACATTCGTGACTTTTATTTCCAAGGGCGCCGTCCCTAAGAGAAAGGCTATTCTTGTGAATCTACATATGTAGCCTTTGTTTGAACAGTAAAATACATGCTGTCGCTCTCCTTGTGACCCAACGTATTAACGAGCCGCGAGTACACAGCTTGCGGTGTAATGCTTTTACAGACTAGGCATACGTGCCCGGAACCAGAACTGATGGACGTCCACACAGAGTCTTCGTGGTCAGTAAAATGGTGTACGCATTGGGGATTTTGTACTACCACGAGCATAGCACCGGGCCTTGAGCGCCCTTTTCACTGGACGGCGCCACCTGATGCTGAACAGCTAACCCTAAAAGCTTTTGGAAAATACTTCCAACTCTTCATTTTACGTTAGGCCTCGAGTCGACCGAGCCCCACGTGACCAAGCAATGGTCACGAGATTGGTCCATTGAGCAGTTAGGACGTTGCCGAGATGAAGACACCACATAACGGTAGATAGGATTTGGGGTCTGCTGGCTAGCCCTTAACAGCTAAGTATCCAGACGCCTCTTAAACACATTCACGTTGGTAAAATACACGATATTCGTCGGCAAAGAATTCCACTGCCGAATGACTCTTTTCGGAAAGCAGAAGAAGAAGAAGAAGAAGAAGAAGAAGAAGATTGATGATGATGATGATGATGATGATGATGATGATGATGATGATGATGATGATGATGATGATGATGATGATGATGATGATGATGATGATGATGATGATGATGATGATGATGATGATGATGATGATGATGATGATGATGATGATGATGATGATGATGATGAAAAATATAGTGGTGCGACACAGTTCCTTCATTAAGTTGGCCGTCATGAAGTCGGAGACTCGTCTTCCCCACAGGAGGCCGCAAGCTAAGTGACTTCCAGGTAAGCTGGATACCGCTTTGCTGCCTTTGCCTGCTCACCGTTCGCATTTCAGCAATCAACTGACCCGGCGGCAGAAAGAACTGCCAGTTGCAGATGAAAACGCCTCCCTGGAGAATCGATATTGCCAGCTACGGGACGCCATTCATTCGACCCCCTGGCTGTCCTCGACCGCGCATTTCGCAAGCACCAGGAATGATTCGACAACGACCACGCATTAATCAACAACCTGCTCGCTGAGGAGAACAGGCTGCACGGAGCCTAGCCGCGACCGTCCAACCGATGCGAACAAAGTAACCCTCTACCAGTGTCGCCGCCTTGCGCAGCAATGGTTGTGAGAGATGTAGGACGCCTGGATGGCTCGCAATATCGAGGATATCCAGGGATGTACCGACCGCAACGAATCAAAGAAATTCTTCACTGCAATCTACGGCCTCCTTACCAAAGGAAACGCGCCGCTTCTCAGCTTCGATGAATCAACGCTTCTGACAGAGAAGTGGCAGATTCTGAAGCGCTGAGCCCAGCAGGATTTCAAGGACGCAACCGTCGTCCATCTGTAGAAGCCCAAAGAGAACCGGCAATTCTGCGACAATTACAGGGGCATCTCGTTACTCAACGTCGCCGGTAAGATCCTCGCCCGCATCCTCTTCAATCGTCTCAACGGTCATCTAGACCAAGGGCTCCTGCTGGAAAACCGATGTGGCTTCCGACGTCATCGGGTACCACCGATATGATCTTTGTCGCCCGTCAGCTATAAGAGAAGTGCCAGGAGGTGCGGATTCACCTCTACACCACCTCTGTGGATCTGCCGAAAGCCTTCGACACGGTGGGTCGCGAAGGACTGTGGAGAATCATGCACAAGTTCGGCTGTCACCGAGTCATTCGCAGTGACCAATGGAGTGAGGCAGGTCTGCGTACTCGCTCCCACCCTCTTCAGCCTCATGTTCCCTGCCATGCTGATGGACGCCTACCGTGATGAGCGGCCCGGGATCCGCATCGACTACAGGAACTACGGGTACCTTCCGAACAGCCGATTAATAAAGGTTCTGATGCGTCTCCCTACAACTACTATCGTCGATCTGCTCTTCGCTGACGACAGCGAACACAACAGTACGATCGAAGAAGATATGCAATGAAGCATGGATCTTTTCGCCTCTGGCTATGCCCACTTTGGACTGACCATCGATACGGACAAGACGGTGGTCATGCATCAACAGCCATGTGTGTGTCAGAGGTTGCAAGTCAGGGGAACACTGCCCTTGCATGTGCGTCAACGGCACAGAAATGAAGACCGTGGATAACCCAACTATCTAAGCAGCACAATGTCACACTGCATCAGAATCGCCGATGAAATAGCCCACTGGATTTTCAAAGCCAGCCGAGAATTTGGTCGGCTGCAGAACTCCGTGCAGAATCGCCATAGCCTTGAGCTGACGATGTACACGGCCACCGTCCTGACGACACTTCTCTACGGAACGGAGACCTGGACCGTCTACACCGGCCACGCAAAGAAGCTCAAGCACTTCCATCCCAGATACCTTCGTAGAATACAAAATTTGAGATGGCAAGACGGGATCCCCGACAGAGAAGTTCTAGAACGGACTGGAATCCTCAGCGTCCACGCCATGCTGAGGCAACTGAAACTACGTTGGAACGGCCGTCTCGTGCGGATGGAAGGTACACGCCCGCCGAAATAACTCTTCTATCGTGGTGTCGCCACCGGTGCTCGCCGAACGGGAAGATCAAAACGACGCTATAAGGACACATTGAAGAATTCTCTTAAACGAATGTATATCGATCCAGAAGTCTGAGGGCACCTCGCCTAGAACAGACCGGCCTGGAGAATGAAGTCAGGACTTTTGCAGCCATATACCAAGCAAACCGGGTCATCGCCGCCAAAGTCAAAAGGGTTACTCGCAAGTCTCAGGCGCCCTTGATTCGCTACGTCACCGCTCAACACCACCCAAAATGCAGGCACTGTCAATGAACACTCCGAACGCGGACCGGCTTCGTCGGTCATCTTCGGATGTGATACATCAACCTCCCGACACCCGCCACTGCTGCGTCCACGACCGCGCCTGATTTAACCACCACGTCGAATACATTGTCGCCCACCCTCACCACTGCTACTTCGAATCGGGCTGCCGCAGTGCCGTCGGCCAAAACCACCTCCACTACCTTTGTCTCAACTACCGCAACGGTGTCGAATGCAACCAACTCTGCCATCACTGCCGACGACCAAAACGCTTCTGACGCCCCGACAACCACCCACACATTCACCATCGCCACCCCCACCTCCTGTCCCAACCTGTCCTCATAGCGACCGAAAATTCACCTCAGACGTAGGTCTGGTCGATCGGTTGTGAATCTATCGCACAGAGACTGGCGAGCCAGTGCCTGGAACACCAACCTACACTCGCTGCATGTGCCTCCACTATCCACGCTGCCTCCGCACACTCACCCACCGCATGGCCCTATCCGGTCAAATAGGTACCTACGAAAGCGGAATTAATCGTTATATTGACACATCTAGCACATCTCGCACCCCCAGGATTCCTGGCTCAATAAACACCTGATCGTCCAGTGCACCTACCACCACCACTGCAACTGACTCTGACGCCCTCGACCTATCCCAACCACAATGTCCCCGTACATTCCCCTCTAACGTCGCCCTGGTCGGTCACCTATGATTCCATCGCAAGGAAACTGACGAACCAGTGCCTCACGCACCAACATACACCAGATACATTCGCCTTAGTTGCCTGCACTGCCCTCTCATACCCAGCCACCTCATGGGCCTATTAGGTCACATGCGCATTCGAGAAAACCTGCGGTGGACAATCGCCGACTATACCACATCATCGCACCTCCCCACATCTACCATACAACAATACCACCCATTACCGCTCAATGCAAGCACTCAGTCAACGCTTCTCATCTCCTTCTCCATGCTGCTCCTCTACTGCATGTGGTATCCGAGTCGGATACTATCACTCTTGGAAGGCTACCGGCTGACCCCTCAACGCAGTCCGTGCAGTCTGGCCAGATGTGTATGTTGGTGTGGAGTGGCGGACTGGTGGACTGAGATTCAGGTTGCAATGGCTTTTCCTCAATGTCGCCTCTGAAACTCTCACGCATGTGAGGAGTGTTTGTGTACACGGGTAGTGCCTATCAGTCGAAGACTGATTGGTTACCCAGCGTTTGAGGGATGATGGCCCAGGCAAATGCAGGACTGCCTCTCACCCTTCTGTGTCTCAAGAATTGTAAGCGTCTGCAATGCTATGATCAGCAAACTATGGCCATCTCAGCTTCGTGTGCGATGGCGGTTCTCTTGCATCTGGGTCCCTGGCGGTGGATGCGTTTGCTCTCCCGCTACGTATACAGGACGTGCGCACGGTTTCCCAGTAATTTGTGTCATCCATTTTTGTTGTTAGGTAAAATCCTGATCAAGAGTTTGTTGTGGCCCAGGAGACATGGTGGTACACCTAAGTGCGGGTCCGGCCGTGCTAGTCACTCGTACCCTCTCCCACGTCCGGTCGTCTTGACATCGGGCCCAAGTGGGAAGGAGAGGGTGCGGTAGATGACGCGCAAATATACTCTCGCTGTAAACTAATTCCCGCGAAAGTCACCTTGCCTTCTCCATCTTGCTGTGGAGCACACGGTGGATATCGTCGGGCAAGACGGTCGAGCTAGCATGTGGATACGCATGCACGTGCGCATTGATTGCACACACCGTCTCCAATCTCTATCACAGGGGTAGCGGATTCGGCAACGGGACAAGCATCGCGTGCACGCACGCACGCACGGTATTGATTTTGTTTGAGGCCGAAGGCGTTGGCGTGCTGCGCGGGCGCCCACCGCCCGATAAGGAGACTCGCCAAGCGCAGGAGTCCACGGAGGGCCTCCAACTCCATGAGTGCACCTGAAAGGGGATCGTGTCAGGCCGTTCTCATTGCCCTGCATTGGTAAGATGACCACTGTCGTAAAACGGGCTGGTTCATGTCCGACCGGAGGAGGATGTAGACCCCGAGACTTCTGCAACCGTGAACAATCTTACGGTAGTTCGACCGTTGCATCCAACGATGTCTACCATATGCTCCACAGCAGGGTGAGAGCAGGGACGGTGACTTGTGTGAAAATTTAGTTAATAGTGATAGTAGACTTTCACAGCATCTACCGCACACTCTCCTCCACCCCCGTCTGGGCCCTGTGTCAAGACAGAGTTAAGAAGATCAGAGGCGGGCGAGGGCGCACCTTGGCGTTCCACCCCACACCCCCTGGTCCACGCAGCAAATAACCAGGTTTTTGATTAACAACAACACTGGTGAGTGGCAAGGTTCTATTGTGCGCGACGTACGCCGGCAACCAGGCCTGCCACCGCAACCAGAAATGTTGGCATTTGTTATGGTGTACAAATCCGATAACGCCTGCCAGGATCAGCTATGGTCCCGGTGTTGGTCCAGAGCATCCACGACACGGCCCGTTTGGGGGGCACACATACATACCTACATTCGATAGTTCGACCATCGAGTTCGACGATGTCCACCACGTGCTCCACTGCAAGGTGAGAGCAGAGACGGTGACCTACGCGTGAATTAGTTTATAGTCATAGTAGACTTGTGTAGCATCTACTGCACTCTCTCTTCCCCATTCTCCACCTGGACCTGGTGTCAGGACAGAGTCAGGAAAACCGGGGGTGGGGGAGAGCGCAGCTGGATAGCATAGTCGAGCCCGCACCTTGGCGTGGCACCACACCCCCTGGTCCACACAGCAAATGACCAGGATTTTTTCGCCAGCAACAACAACACCCCAACTGGAGTAAGTAGGGCGAGAACCAGCTTTCGTCTCCTTCCCCTAACGATTGCTGCCTTTCGGAACTTCCCGTCCCTACCTCCTAGCAGCAGATGCAGAATTTTCTCGGTAAGATGAACTCTTATT